GGGAGGGCGGAACGCGTTCGAATCGTTTTATGGAAGCCATGGAAGCGTTCGATAACGGGTTCCGGACCGGGCCGTACCGTAACGTACGGCCCGGTCCGGAACCCGTTATCGAACGTTATCGCGGCCCGGTTATGATATAATTGTTGTGATTTGTATTGATTATTATGTGATACCCTGCATCAATTCAGCCGTCAAAGGCTGCGACTGCACGGGTACTGTTTGGACAATAAAAAAACATTAAAAACAACTAGCACAAGTGAAACCACAGAGACACCATAAAAGACGTGCAAATAGTGAGCTGTCTTTACTGTATGTTGTTACTGATGTTATGCAGAGTCTTTGAGAGTAAAATAGCAACAGTTAGTGAACTGTCCCTTGGCCTTCATACTTTTCATGCAATGAATGTGGGCTTCGGCTTATTTTTGACGTGTTTGTAGGCGTTCGTTTTGTATATTTTTGCCACCCATACTTCTGTTGCGTATGGATACTCAACTGCCAATAATACTGTCGTGTCAGTTCTAATATATAGCAAATGCTTTTCTGTGTTTCGCCAAGAGATTTAAAAGTTCATCACAGCCTCCTATCATTAATGAACCGTCCCGTTGTTTTCACACTCTCCCGTCTGGCGTCAGGGCGGGATTGAATCCAGATGTGAGAATTAGGCGGGGCTCACGTAGGGGTTTACGGTATACTCAGAATTATCTTAGTCTTAGATAAACGCTTTCCTCATCACCAACACCAGAATCCCTTCATAACAGTGAACTTTCTCTTCGGTCTCTAAAATTGCACACTGGATTGCGGGAATATTTTTGCTAACTTTAATTCGACACACGACATAATCTCGTAACCCCTCACCGACCCTCACTCTGTTTACGTTGTCAACTTCCAGGCGGCAGCTGCTAACTTCCATAAATAACAATTTGAGAGCCAAACATTCAAACGGACAATCCAGAAATTTCTCAGACAATTCCACGTCCATACTACGACTTTTCTTTGCCCAGCTGCACTGAAACAAGTATTTGGATCTCCTTGACTGAATTATAAACAGCACGGCCCAGATCACACGCACACTGGCCTAAACGCACGCCGCCACACAAATATTACGAACCGTTGTTTGCCAACACTACAAACCTCTGAATACCAACTACATGCCGACTTTTCCTACCTGGAAGTTAGTTGATACACAGTCCGGGCCGAGTCGCCTGTTGAATCGCTGCAAAACTCCTCCAAAGACGGAAAACTGCTCAAGATGCTGCGTCCTTGCGGGACAGGAAGGCGCGATGCCGTGACCCGGAAGTACTACCCCGGCCAGAGGTCAAGTGTCGTTACCTGATTACCCAACAAATGTACACGGGCCTTGGAGCAAAGGCTAGTAATCAGAATAATTCGTAACAGAAAAAAAAACACTCGTAGTCACCGGTCTGTGTTTTGGGTCATGAAAAATACCTTCTGCCTTCTAGTGTGTCCATTTATAGTTCATAATATCATCATTTTACATTAACTGACTACCCAACAAAGAGAGCCTGCAGGGGGGGGGGATCCCGACAACGCTCTATGCTGAATTCGGAAACCTCTCGATTACGCTTTACTATAAATTCCAAGTGGCTACAAGGCATTACGTAGAATTAAAACGGCGAATACGCTCTACGTAAAATGCGAAGAGCGGTCCGTCTACGCTCTACGTAGAATTAAAACGGCCGATTACGCTCTACGGAAAAAGGCTTGCGGGACCCCAACAATCACGGGGATAGAGCAAATTAAGGCCAGTAACGGGCTTGCTAAGAAAATGTGATAAAGGAAAAACAGATCTGTAACAGATACCATTACTTTTAAATATCCAATGAACATTTCCTAGAAATTTTTGTTTTTCATTCACATTGAGTTTTTTCACGTTTAGTTTTTGCAAGGAGTGTGTGCGTTGTACCAAGGAGGTTAAAAAAGAGAAGGAGAGACGACGCAATTAACAACCCGCTGTGCCCTCTTTTTTAACCTCCTTGGTTGTACAAGGCATATCTAGAGTAAAAGTAGGCCCAGTGCACTTCCTCTATGACTACCTGCTTCGCTCTGGCTTTGAGAAACTGGTTGAGTAGAAAGTAAAATTCATGTACCAAAAAGGTGTATTTTCGTGTTCACTATCTTCAGAACAACACCTTGGTACTTACCATCTAAAAAAGACTATGTTCTAATAATAAAATACAAAATAATGAGTTTCAAGTAGTTAAAAAGATATCATTCGGTAAACAGAACATATGGGCTCACACTTTGTCAAGGAAATTTTAATAAGAAAACGAAACTAGTACATTTCAACAAACCTAACGCTAACTAAAGGGTACAATCACTTCCCGATGTTAGTTGCTGATTATGTACATCGTCTAATTGATACTATCAAAGTTAATGCGATAAAAACAACAACAATTAAGTAGGCTAACCCAACCGAACAACAATGTAAGAAAACTACCTATGAAAAAGATAACTTAGGTGCTGTACAACATATTAAGACTAATTAAAAAAAACAAAGGTTTTAGCATTAATTACATGTTAGTAAACTTCACTTAAAACTTTTTTTTGTAACGGGTTTCAAATTAAATATATATGTCAACTATCAAGAAAAGATTAAGAGTCAACAAACTAAAAATAACAAAACAAAGTAGATCCCTGGAAGACTTTTCTTGTTGAATATTTTGCATTCTACCCTTACTAAAGAGACTATGTAATATATATCACCTATAACAGAAGTGGATGCTTCCGGATCCAAAACAAAGGGATTATATATGCCAAAATAAAGGCAACAGTAATTAAAGAAAACAATGTTTATCACGTATAAGTAAAGCTATGTATACAATTCCAAGCGATTGTTTGCTACTTCCTGAAAAACAGAAATTAATGAGAGTAATTAAAGTAAACAATTTGCTATTAGTAATACTAATATCATCCTAGTCATAGTCTGTGTCTAGTGAACTTCTCATTTACTGCTAAAATAACATCGAGGCTTTCAGGCCTCCATGATGCAGTGTCTTTGGCACATCTTACACAAAAAAGGTTCTCAGATTGTGCATCAAGTTGTCTTAAAATATAACTTGTGGTGCTAAACAGCATCCCACAATCTTCACTTCTGCTGGGTTTCTCCTTCGTGGGTTTGCTTGTGCCTCTTCAGACTACCCAGCTGACTGAACTGCCTGCTGCACTCCTCACACTTGTAGGGTTTCTCCCTAGTGTGAGTCCGCATGTGTGTCTTCAAAGCACTACGACAACTGAACCGCTTGCCACACTCCTCACACCTGTAGGGTTTCTCCCCAGTGTGAGTCCGCATGTGTTTCTTTAGATTTCCGAGCTGTCTAAAAAGCCTGCCGCAGGCCTCACACCTGTAGGGTTTCTCTCCTGTGTGAGTCAGCATGTGTCTATTCCAACTTCCAAGCTCACGAAACTGCCTGCTACACTCCTCACACCTGTATGGCTTCTCCCCAGTGTGAGTCCGCATGTGTGACTTCAGATTACCCAGCTCACTGAACTGCCTGCTGCACTCCTCACATCTGTAGGGTTTCTCCCCTGTGTGAGTCCGCATGTGTGTCTTCAGGCTATAGAGATGACGAAACTGCCTGCTGCACTCCTCACAATTGTAGGGTTTCTCACCCGTGTGAGTCTGCATGTGAGTTTTTAGATTACCCAGCTCACTGAACTGCCTGCTGCACTCCTCACACCTGTAGGGTTTCTCTCCTGTGTGAGTCAGCTTGTGTCTATTCCAACTTCCAAGCTCACGAAACTGCCTGCTACACTCCTCACACCTGTATGGCTTCTCCCCAGTGTGAGTCCGCATGTGTCGCTTCAGATTACCCAGCTGACTGAACTGTCTGCCACACTCCTCACACCTGTAGGGTTTCTCACCAGTGTGAATCCGCATGTGAGTCTTCAGTTCACCCAGCTGACTGAACTGCCTGCCACACTCCTCACACCTGTAGGGTTTCTCCCCAGTGTGAGTCCACATGTGCCTCTTCAGATGACTAAGACGACCAAACTGCTTGACACACTCCTCACACCTGAACACTTTCACACCTTTGTCCTGCCTCCCGGTTTCCTCTCCAGACTTCTCACAACTATCTTCTTGCCAGGTGGAAACGGTGTTGGCAGAGCCCCCTGCTGATCCTCCATGCCAGGTGGAAACGGTGTTGGCAGAACCCCCTGCTGATCCTCCTTGCCAGGTGGAAACGGTGCTGGCAGAACCTCCTGCTGATCCTCCATGCAAGGTGGAAACGGTGTTGGCAGAACCCCCTGGTGATCCTCTCCTTACGTCATCCAAACCTTCTGTGCTGCCTGTTGTTGCCATGTCAACGAGAGCTGGATCAACCTCTAAAAAAAAACAAGCGATCTAAAAAACATGCTGAAATATGTATAGTTGAGTAGTACTACGTATAGTTGAGTAGTACTGTGCATAGTAGAGTAGTACTACGTATAGTTGAGTAGTACTATATATATATAGTCGAGTAGTATAGTGCATGTAAACAAATGCTCATCATATGTAAAAGTTACTAAAACAAGATTCACACAACTAGCAGAATAGAAACCGCTAATACACCAGAAAAGACAAGCTAACAGTGAGCTGTCTTTGCTGTATGTTGTTACTGATGCTATGCAGGGTCTTTTGAGAGTAAAGAACCTGCATAGCATCATTTGAGAGTAACATTGTAACAGTTAGTGAACTGCCCCTTGGCCTACATACTTGTCATGCAATGGATGCGGAGTTTGGCTTAATTTTTAATGTGTTTGTAGGCTTTCGTTTTGGTCATCTGGCACATTTTTGCCATCTATACCTCAAGAATACTCAACTGCTAAATGGTACGGGCTAACAGTGAGCAGTCTTTACTGTACGTTGTTACTGATGCTATGCAGGGTCTTTGAGAGTAACACTGCAACAGTTAGTGAACTGTCCCTTGGCCTTCATACTTTTCATGCAATGGATGTGGGCTTCGGCTTATATTTTACGTGTTTGTACGCATTCGTTTTGTATATATACCTCCCATACTGCAGTTGTGTATGGACACTCAACTGCCAATAATACTGTCGTGTCAATTTAATATATAATGTTTTTCTGTGTTTTCGCTATGGCAAATGTTTTTCTGTGTTTTCGCTATGAGATTTAAAGTTAACCACAGCCTCCCATCATTAATGAACCGTCCCGTTGTTTTCACACCCTCCCGTCTGGCGTCAGGGCGGAATGGAATCCAGATGTGAGAATTGGGCGCGGCTCACGTAGGGGTTTACAGTATACTCAAGATTATCTTAGTCTTAGATTAACGCTTTCCTAATCACCAACACAAGAATCCCTTCATAACAGTGAATATCCTTTTAAGTCTGTAAAATTTCCCACTGGATTGCAGGAATATTTTTGGTAATTTTTAATGCGACACACAACATAATCTCGTAACCCCCTACCGACCCTCGACCCTCTCTGTTTACGTTGTCAAATTCCAGGCGGCAGCTGCTAACTTCCATAAACAATGCAATAATTTGAAAGCCGAATATTCAAACAGACAATTCAGAAATTTCTCAGACAATAATTCCATATCCACACTACGACTTTTCTTTGCGCAGCTGCAATCAAACAAATATTTGAATCTCCTTGACTGAATTATAAACAGCACGGCCCAGATCACACGCACACTGGCCCAAACGCACGCCGCCACACAAATATTATGAACCGTTGTTTGCCAACTCTACAAACCCCTGAATACCAACTACATGCCGACTTTTCCTACCTGGAAGTTAGTTGATACACAGTCCGGGCCGAGTCGCCTGTTGAATCGCTGCAAAACTCCTCCAAAGACGGAAAACTGCTCAAGATGCCGCGTCCTTGCGGGACAGGAAGGCGCGATGCCGTGACCCGGAAGTACTACCCAGACGGGATGGGGGTCAGAAGGTCAAGCCTCTTTACCTGATTACCCAACAAATGTACACGGGCCTTGGAGCAAAGACTGGAGATTGAGGAATAATTTGTGACAGAAAAAAAGGAATTAGTGATCACCAACCTGTGTTTTAGGTGACGAAAAATACATATTGACAAGGTTATCAACATTTTAGATTGCCGATTTATTTCATGATATGAAGAGTCTGAAAAAAGTCTAGGGTCGGAATGTTTTTTGTCGAGTTGGTCTATATTTTGCTAGGCCCACTCGCTGTGACGTCATGGCAATCAGTGGTAATGGCTCAGACTCTGATACTTTCAATCTACGAATGACTATCCTCTAAAATAAAATACAAAATACTGAGTAAAAACTTTAACCCTTGTCCTGCTGGCAATTTTTACACAATATTTTCAAATAATTTCATGTCTTAATCAGGTCACAGACCCTTGACTTTTTTTGCCCTGCGGCGGCGTAGTTACTTCCGCATTCGTTGCGTTTCGCTGCGGTGTGATGCGTTGCACGAGAAACACCCCCAAATCGTACATATACAGGGCACTATATAGATGGTACTGTATGTGCAACCCATATATATATGGGCCCCGCAGGACAAGGGTTTTAAAGTAGAGTATTAAAACTACTGTACAATCACTTCCCGATGTTAGTTACTGATTATGCACAACGTCTAATTTCTACTATCAAAGTTAATGCAACAAAAATAAACGAAATAAGTATGCCTAACCTAACCTAACAACAATGCAACAAGAGAACAATATAATAGGTGCTGTACAATATATCAAGATTATTTAAAGAAAAACAAATGTTTTAGCATTTGCTGCATGTTAGTTAACTCTCAAAACTACGTAACGTATAAGTTACCAGGGTTGACCAGGGTAGTGGACCGAGTTGACCGAGTTGACCGAGTTGACCGAGTTGACCGAGTTGACCAGGGTAGTTGACCGAGTTGACCGAGTTGACCGAGTTGACCGAGTTGACCAGGGTAGTGGACCGAGTTGACCGAGTTGACCGAGTTGACCAGGGTAGTGGACCGAGTTGACCGAGTTGACCGAGTTGACCGAGTTGAGTCGAGTTGACCGAGTTGACCGAGTTGACCAGGGTAGTGGACCGAGTTGACCGAGTTGACCGAGTTGACCGAGTTGACCGAGTTGACCAGGGTGGTGGACCGAGTTGACCGAGTTGACCGAGTTGACCGAGTTGACCGAGTGGACCGAGTTGACCGAGTTGACCGAGTTGACCGAGTTGACCGAGTTGATCGAGTTGACCGAGTTGACCGAGTTGACCAGGGTAGTGGACCGAGTTGACCGAGTTGACCGAGTTGACCAGGGTAGTGGACCGAGTTGACCGAGTTGATCGAGTTGACCAGGGTAGTGGACCGAGTTGACCGAGTTGACCGAGTTGACCAGGCTAGTGGACCGAGTTGATCGAGTTGATCGAGTTGACCGAGTTGACCGAGTTGACCGAGTTGACCGAGTTGACCAGGGTAGTTGACCGAGTTGACCGAGTTGATCGAGTTGACCAGGGTAGTTGACCGAGTTGACCGAGTTGACCAGGGTAGTGGACCGAGTTAGACCCGAGTTGACCGAGTTGACCGAGTTGATCGAGTTGACCGAGTTGACCGAGTTGACCGAGTTGACCGAGTTGGCCAAGGGTAGTGAACCGAGTTGACCGAGTTGATCGAGTTGACCAGGGTAGTGGCCGAGTTGCCGAGTTGATCGAGTTGACCGAGTTGACCGAGTTGACCGAGTTGACCAGGGTAGTGGACCGAGTTGACCGAATTGACCGAATTGACCGAATTGACCGAGTTGACCGAGTTGACCAGGGTAGTGGGCCGAGTTGACCGAGTTGACCGAGTTGATCGAGTTCACCGAGTTGACCGAGTTGACCGAGTTGACTGAGTTGACCAGGGTAGTGGACCGAGTTGACCGAGTTGACCGAGTTGACCGAGTTGACCGAGTTGACCAGGGTAGTGGACCGAGTTGACCGAGTTGACCAGGGTAGTTGACCGAGTTGACCGAGGATATATACAATTTAAGTGGCTTCATACCTACATGTACTCATATACAGTGGCTTCATACCTACATGTACTCATATACATCTAATAATGTATACATTATATTCATACGGATTGTGGGGTCGTGTGGCGTAACGGCAGAGTGCTCGACTTGGAACCAAGAGGTCCCGAGTTCAAGTCCTGACATGTCGCCGAGAATTTCACCGTGCCCTTGCTTAATTGGGAAAGGCAATTTACACGACTTTACTCACTTACCTAGTGTCAATTGAAAATGTATTGTCCTGTCCTGTATTTGTCCTCTGCGGCATAAAATAAGTTGAAAAACTTGAGTGTGTCGTCACCAATGTCTAATTATGACATGTTGGAATAAAAGGAATTACATTGTGTTCAGATGAGGCTAGAAAAATGTTTCTACTTATGATGACGAAGGTTATATAAATAATTAAACGTACAGTACTGTCAAATTCAGCCTCCTTGCTGGGATAAACGATAAATGATTCATCAACGTTATTTCAGGAGGCAGGCTGTCTTGTTTCAGTAGACGACGTGACCAAAATTCAATCTTCCCTGGCGCCTACACACGAGAAGAGACACTTGTCGTTTGCTGAAAGAACTGCAGCTTGTAATGTCCTGCACGTTGCGTACTGAGAGTAATCTTTTATTCACATATATTTATTGAGTATGAGGCAAAAAGCACAGATATATGACACCTGCTGTTCAAAAACATAAAGCGAAAGTAAAACACATTGACAAAATACATGCACAATTACAAAGTGGGTAAACGAAAATGAGTATAAACAAGACATGTTGGAATCTACCCGTACAGTAAATGAAGTTTTGAACTAGAAAGGCCAATATTTGCTTTGGAGCAAATACAGCGATGGGTTCACCACATTTTACCACATGGCAGGGAAAGAATGAGAAACACAAGGGAAAACAATGATTTACATTGATATAACTATAATATGAAGTAACATACAACTAAAACAACAGTTGGATAGCTATTCCCTACTTTATTGGTTAGGATTTTTAATTGCATAATGCAAACTGTTGATTTTCAAAATAAAAAAAAAACGTTCATGCCCCGCATTCCAATGCTGGAGCAGAAAAGCTTGAAATACCTACCAAAACACTTGAATAAAGACATACTGTCAGTATGGAAATACTCTGTGCAGGTGTTAATCAAGTTAAATCCCAACAGCCAATCAGCAAGAAATGCTCTGTGCAGGTGGAAATGATCAGTGTGCAGGTGTTAATCAAGTTAAATTCCAACAGCCAATCAGCAAGAAGTAAAGAGGAAAGCTGCATGCCTATTGGTTGATGCCCTGCATTCCATTGTGATGACTCATGCCCAGACGTGGTAAACATGGCACACTAACACAGTAATACATTAGCTATAATACAGCCAAAAAAACTCAAATAAAACCATTCTAAAAGCCTGTATCACAAAAATTTAAAAA